CCTGAAAAGTCATCTGCTATTAACTCCTTTTGTATTACCCCCAAGACTCCTCCGGATTCACTCAGGACATTTCACTTTGCTGCTCCTTCCACCCTCCACACTGAAGCCAGGGTAAATGACAAACAAACAAACAAACGTACTGTTTGAGAGAGTTTCACGTTTACAGAAAAGTTGTAAGAGTACCACTAAGTACACCCACATATTTGTCACCAAGAGACTACATTCCAAATTAGATCAGTTGTCCAAGAAATATTCTATGAAAGATCTGTCACCCCCAGTCACCCCAATCTTCTAACCTTAATCTCCTTCACTCTCAAAGTTGCTCAATATCCAAGACTTTCATGAATTTGGCATTTTGGAAAGTCACGGGCCAGCAATTAATGAGTATTACTTCAATAAACTCAAACATACCAATGACCACGGTACAGTCGTCAATGCCCCTGCATACAGAAGTTCTTCCACCCCTGCCGGGCAGCTTACCCTCTCCCATATGGGTCTCATTCCCTGCTAAGGCTCACCTCACATGCTCAGGGCATCTACCTTCATTAGACTTGCCAAATGGCAAAAAGCAAAATGAAAGGAAACCTTTTTTTTTTTTTTTAAAGACGGAAAGAGACCATAAGGAAAAGCGAAGGGAAAAGCCAGTGTTATCTTTGCAAAATTCAGATCCATCACATTCTAGACAGGGAGCCGCTGTAGCATTCAGTTACTAGCTAAAAGGTTGGCAGTTCACATCTACCAATGGCTCTGTGTGAAAAAGGTGGGCAATCTGATCTTATAAAAATTATAGCCTAAAAAGCCCTGTGGAGTAAGTTCTCTGTTCAATGAAGTCACTATGAGCAGGAATCAAGTCAGTGGCACACAACAACGACCTTCTACACACACACTCACACACACACACACACACACACACACACACACGGACACACACTGAACCTGAAGACAGTAAAGTCCTCCCACAAGGTCTGAGAGGCTCTCCATGATTTAACTGCTGGCCATATCTCATGCTACCTTCCTATTTTTCTCCCAAATACCAGCACAAAGACCACGCCTTAGCTTCTCCAATCTTTCATCTTCCCTCTTGCCACAGGGTCTTGGTATGTACTGTCTCCACTGCTCTCACCTGCCCATTAATGTAATTGACTTATTCTGCCAATCTCTGCTGGAGCTCTGTCTCCACCCCAGGGAACCCTCTTTAACCCCTGAGACACAGCTGGGCTGTTTTCTTAGGTGTAATTTCTTTCATGGCTCCCAGACAGCGGCCCTTCCCTCATGTGGGGAGCACACACTCATTTGTGTAGCTATCTGATTAATGCCCTCTTCCTTCTCCAAACGGGGAGCTAAATGAGAGTGATAATGACAGTTCTTTCTGATTATAACGTGTGTCCTCAGCTTGTAACTCATTATGGGCACACATGAGGGGGCTTTAAAAAATCCATGGGGACATTCCATTCTCTTTGAATTCTGTTTTTCCACGAACTTTTTGAAGCTTCCTTGTAGTAGATGCTTAACAAGTATTTGCCACGTGAATAAATTATTTTGCATTTTCAGATGCTTAAAATGTTTCACCATTAATGATAATACATTTCACAGATTTGGGGGGAAAAGGAAACCATAGAAAAATTTTATGGTAAATGTAGTGAAGGGGGTGATCATAGCTGTGAAGAATTCTGAAAGCTCGTATACGGGGTGGTGTGTGTGTGTGTGTGTGTGTGTGTGTGTGTGTGAGAGAGAGAGAGAGAGAGAGAGAGAGATTCCAAAAGTTGTGGAGAAGTGGAATTAAGAAAAAATAGAATAGAATTTTCCCACAGACTTTTCAAAGCCCAAAGCTTTTTAATTTATAATATACAGTTATGAAGTCACAAAAAATGGCCTAAAGATACTGTCATCATTTTCTAAGTAGGAAAAACAATATGGGATTCTTTTACCCCAAATGTGTATAAGGTCTATTAAAATCGTGTTTTATAAATCACGTAATCATTTGGGTAATTTTGAGTCATCATTATCCTTCCTAAGGCGGGAGGGTTCCTGTCACAACCTGATTGTGTGTGTGTGTTCTGGAATTAGGAAAAGCGGTTTTAAGCTGCATGTGGAAAAGAAGAATTCCGAGATCAGCCAATGAAACCTTTTGGTTTTGCTTTTAAGAATAACAATGAAGGGCAACTTACTTTACCCAGCTAGTATATCTTTTGCTGAAATAATTAGAATAAAGAAATGTTGTTGCCTCCCCCCCCCCCATACAAATAAATAGATTCACGGGGCAGAATGCAAGTATATGGAGGAGCTTAACCTATGGCAAGGATTGCATGTAATTCAAGAGAGGAATGTCATTAATAAAATGAGTAGGGCATTTAATAAGTAGTGCCTCCATGGTTATCTATACACCTGAAGGAAAACAGGGTAAGAATTCCAGAACAGCCGGGGTCTACCAGAAGAATGAGTACACAAACAGTGGAGTACTATGGAACAACGAACAGCAACCATTATTGCTGTAAACAACACCACGGATGGATCCCACCAACCTAATGTTCATCAAAAGCAGCCAAACACAAGGGAGCATACGCTGCCTGATTTACTTACATTAAATTCCAGAAGAGTTGAAATGAAGCTATGGTTAGGGGAAAAAATCAGGACTGTGGTCGTCATTGTGTAGAGGGTTGGAGAATGGGGGTGAGGGTATGTGTGAGACCTGACTGGGAAGCTAAAGGAGGGAATGTTCTAGTGTGATGGCAAGGTTCCACACCTTGGCAGGGGGTTGGGTTACACAGCTGTAAGTCTTTGTTAATACCCTATAGATGTGCACTTCATATGTGTGCATTTTATAAATGCACATCCTATCTTCAGGATAAAGATCCGTCAAAAAATACTGAACTTTCCTTAACTTTTGCTAAGGAGCACACAGGCTGAAGTCTTTAGGGATGATGTGAGCCCATGTTGGCAATTTGTTAGATATTTTGCTGTGTAGATTTTCAACAACAATAAAAAAGTCAAAATAAAATTTTAAAAAGTTGAAACTCCAAAGTGAGATGGATTGATGAATAGATAAATGAATAGTTACGTGATATAATAAGTAAAAACAAAATATTAATCTTAGAATCCAGGTGATGGGTTTATGGTTATCCTATCAACGTCTCTAGATGTTTGAAATTGTCCTTAAAGATGCTGGAGAAAATAAATACGTCAGGTATACTACCTATCCAGATAGAGGACATACACCCCCCAAATCCCAGGAAATACAGTACAGGAACATTCATGAAACATTTTAAAGTTGGGGAGTAAAAATAAATAGAAAATAAAGCAAATCAGGAAACCAGAGAAGTAATAGAAGGAAAGAGAGATAAGGGTGAGATAGATATTTTTGATTATTAGTTGTTTTTACAAGCCAGAGCACATCAAAACAATATTAAAAGAATGGCAGATTAGAGGAAAATATTCATTATATCACCTATGGCAGGCAAGAAGTTAAATCCCTAGTACAAAGACTTCCTATAAATTTTCATAAAACCAACAGGCAATACAATAGAAAAGTAGGTAAAGACATTAACAGACAATTAGCGTAAGAAACACAAATCCTGGTGCCTGTGTGAAAATTGACTAATACTCCCAGCAGTCAGTTGGAAATGTAAATTGAAACATAATGAGGAGTCATTTCTCATCCTTGCTTTGGCAAACTTTTAAAGATTGATTACCTCGATGCTGGTGAGGGTGCTGGAAAGCAAACAGACAGCCCTGCACTCTGGGTGGAATGAGACTGTTTACAAACTTTCAGAGACTACAATCTGCTGATAAAAATGCCAGAATAATGGGTACAGAGACGGCCAGGTGTGACACAATCAAGAAGTTTCCACTTTTGTACAAGGAGCGAAATGTGCCAGGTTATACACCCACCTGTGGAAACTGAGACGTCAGGGCAGGGGTTAGCCCACGAGGGCCTGCTGGCCACCTTCGCTTTACAGCCCCTGAGCTAAGAAACGTTTTTATGTACATTGTACCTATCTGTTCCCCCCTTGGCCAGCAAAGCCTAAAATATTTACTATTTTGTCTTGCTGACCCCTGTGCCTCAAGAGGGTTGATTATTGATATGTGTTCTTTCCCCTTGACTTTTCTGGATTGTTTGACTTCAAAGCTTTTGCGGGTTTGGAGAAGACAGGGAGATTGGGGGGGTTTGCAGATCAATCACTTTGGATGTTGTGGGGGACAGAGATCAGGAGACAAGAGGATGCCACCAAACCAGGAAGCTCCTGCAAAGGTCCAGGAGAGGGTGGATAGTGCTTGGAAATAAGGGAGTGGCCGTCCAGGTGCAGCAGGTGGCCCAGTCTTTAGAAGGTGGAATCGCTACGGAGGGCCTGGGCACGGAGAGGACACAAGAAGAGGCACTGAGGCCGATTCCCTGGTTTCTGTCATTCACTGAGTGAGGCCAACTACTAAAATAGGGAGACTGGGGAGGGTATATTGGAACACAAATCGAGAGCTCTGTCTGGACCTATGAAGTGTGAGGTGCCTGCGAAGGTACTAAGTGAATTGTGTGAAGGAGGCAGTGGCCACAGCTACTGGAGATGGTGAGGGAAGGTTTGGCAGCAAACAGACGCTGACCAGGAATCAGCACTGACAGCAACCTGGAAGCAATGGGAAGGGCCAAGAAGAATGTTTCCGAAAGTCTCCCTGCTGGCACAGTGTCCAGCATACCTGCAGCCTCCTCCCTGGGGGACAGTTGTCTCTGGGCCACTGTCCACCTCTCTAAGCGTTCTCATCCCACGGCCAAGCAACACCACAACTTATCAGAAGACATCGATCCCTCCACCTCACCCAACTGCTCGCTTGGACCACGGGGCGCTATTGTTCCTCGAGGATGGATGGGCCTCCCAGCATCTGGCTCCGCCTCCTGGAGCCACAGGTCCAGATTTTGAGCCCTTCAAACCTGCCCTGCCGAAGCTCCGCCGCCAGGGGCAGCCCCCCTTTCTCCAGCGCATTTTTACCTGAGACTACTCGGAAGGACTCACCAAGGAGCTGGTGTAGGTGGGGTCGGACGTGTCATCCTGGAGGTAGCGGGAGAGGCCAAAGTCCGACACCTTGCACACCAGGTTACTGTTGACCAGAATGTTTCTCGCAGCCAGGTCCCGGTGCACGTAATTCATCTCAGACAGGTACTTCATGCCAGCGGCAATGCCCCGCAGCATACCCACGAGCTGGATCACCGTGAACTGCCCGTCGTTTTGCTGTGATGAGACAAGAGAGCACCCGGATCAAGATGGGCTTCAGTGGTTAAGCAGAGAGGAAGGTGCTGTGGCCCTGTGTCTTGTCAGCCTCGCCAAGATACAGGCCAAGATGCTGACTGGTCCCCTTCCCCTCCCCCACTCCCGGCAGCATCCCTCTCCTTGAACGGTCTCCCCTATTTGCCAAGCCTTGTCGATTTCATCTCCAAATTACATCTCAAACCCACCCACACCTCTCCATCTCCACTGCCACTGTTCCGACCCAGTCATTGTCATCAATCACCTGTAACAGCCTCCCCACACGTGACCCCCTACAACCCTTTCTCTGCAAGGCAGCTAGAGTGATCTTTTAAAAACATAAATCAAGTCATGTCACTCCCTGGCTTACAACTCTTTAAATAGCCTCCCAATGCATTAAGGGAGACCCCCAACAATGCACCGTGGCCCACAAGAACCCCACGGGACCAGGAACTGCCTCACCGTATGCCACTGTCCCCCTTATGCCTAGGCTAAAGCCAAGGATAAATCCCCCAATGCTTCTCCCAGTCAGGTCTTCCTCCTCGGGGCCCCGAGACATGCTGTTGCTTCTGTGCAGAGGGCTTTCCCTCACTCTTAGCACCTACTCAGCCTGGAGGTCAGTTTACATTGTGCTTCCCTGGACCTGCCCCCTTCCTGGAGAGAACGGTGGCGGCTGTGGTTGGTCAGCGGCTCTGGAGTTAGCCCCTGGCTTAGGGTGATGCCATGTACAAGGGGAGTGAACTGTTTTGACCCCTAGGGTTGTCTTTTTGTGTGTGTGTGTGTGTGTGTGTGTGATTAATCAGTAGGCTTCAATTATGTTTAATTATGTTCGATTTGTAACAATGAAAATACATTCTGCATATCAGATATTTACATTACAATTCATAACAGTAGTAAAATTAGACTTATGAAGTAGCAATGAAAACAATTTTACGGTTAGGGGTCACCGCGACATGAGGAACTATATTAAAGGGTGGCGGCATTAGGCAGGTTGAGAACCACTAGTCAAAAGAAAGTTCTAAGTCCATGGGTGGTAAGCACCTAACATATTTGATTGCGAACTGACAAGTTTGAGTCTACCTTGAGTAACCTCAGACGACAGCTTTAGCCCACTATTTGCAAAAGAAAGCCACCGTTGGAAACCCTGTGGAGAATAGTGCTATTATGACATGCTAGGTTTTCACCGGTGAACTTTTTTATGAAAGTAGATCGCCAGGCCTTTCTTCCTACTTCATCTTACTTTGTGTCCTGCTTCATCTTAGTTTGGAAGTGCTACTGAAACCTGCTCAGCCTCAGAGCAGCACACAAGCCTCTGCTGACAGATGAGTGGTGGTTCCACCGGGAATCGAGCCTGGGTCTCCTGCACAGAGACAAAAGTCCTACCATTGAACTACCACCGTCCCATCCAAGCAAAATTAACACCTTCTTACTACTAGAAGAAGCCCTTGTGACATTGTGGGTTAAGTGCGGGCCTGCTAGCTAAGAGGTTGGAAGTCTGAAGCCATCATGCTACAGGAGAAAGATGAGGCAGTCTGTTCCCATGAAGATTGAAAGCCTGAGGAACCATCTGGGGCAGCTATCTTCTATCCTATAAGACCACTATGAGTCAGAAACAACAGGATGGCAGTGAGTTTGGGTTGTTTTGGCTTATTTACGGCTATATTTCAATGCATGCTCTTGTTTCTTTTCTTCTCAGCCCATGTTTCAGTTGTGTGTGAGAATGTGGGTTTCTAGCTCTCCTGCTTGATTCTAAACACTTTGAGGACAAGGACGTTTTCTCTTCTGGTTTCCATAGACTTCTCAGTGCTGAGGACAGCCATGTACATAGCAAAACCCCAACAAAGTTACGTGACCGAATAGCTGGTACATCCCTTCCTGGTTCCAAAATGAAATGCAGGGTATCTCCCTGGGATGCTATTAGTACTGTGATCCCATCAGCCTTCCCAAAGGGACAGCCCCTGATGCCAGCCTCCGTCCACAGAGCATTAGGATTAGCAGTGCAGGAGGAGTCTGGGGCATGTCATCTGGCACATGCACCTTCCCTGTTGCTGCTCCTTGAGCTGCGCTCCGCAAATCAACAGAGGGCTCACATTTTCTCAGGTGTGTGCCCTCCCCATGGCTAGATGACAGTCTTCAGGAGTGTGCACCATCCTCCTACCAACCGGAAGTCCTTGGGGCTTGGATCTGTAAACACTGGGTAAATCATTGCACCTGGACCAAACCTGTCAAGGATGGATTTCTCCACCTTGTCCAGTCCCAGCTGCATCCCAAAGGGCTATAGGTGCTGTTCTGTTAGTGGGACCCAGCCCGGGCATCATCTGCTCTGCCTGGCGGAGAGGTGGGAGGTGAGAGGACACCAGGGCTTAATCTAGTTACTGCTGAGCACAGGCCCCGGGAAAGCCATGCTCTCTTCCACACAGTCCTCATGTGGAAACAGAATCCGTAAGCACTACGAGAAGCTACCAATTACTGAGCATCTACTGTGTGCTCGTGTCACACAGTGGACACAGTGTTCCATACAGTCTCCCACTTAGATGGGTGATGCAGCACATCATTTGGGAAACGTATCCAAACTCCTTAGGATGGCCCGTAAGATCCCCATTGGGTCAGGCACAGCATGACAGTGTATCACTGTGTGCCCCTCACTACTAGGGTAAAGATTCTGAAGACTTTTCAAATGCAAAAATGTCACAGCATTTTCTATATAAATATCAGGGCAGCCAGGAGGAAGGTGCGTTTTCATCATACACTAAAACAAAGCCAGCACTGGAGACACAGTGCAGGTTGGAACCCCCCACACAGGGGCGAAACATGCCGGGAGCACAACAGAGCAGCGGGGGGAGCAAAGCAACGAAGTCCCCGAGGAATCCCGAAAACAGACCTCAGACTCGAAGGGGAGAGCTTGGCACCCCATCAGACTCGATCAGAAAACATACATAATGGTCAGCAGACAGTCCTGGAATTATTTATAAAACATCCCCCCTTTTCATGTTTATCTATATAAGATAGGCAAGATAAACAATCCTGAGGAGAAAACAACAGGACCAACAGTTCCGGGGTGTGATAGGTTTCTTGTGCCAACCTGGCCAATGAACACATGTGGGATTAATTGAAGGGCTGTTTAATTGAAGGGTGGAGAGATAAATGGCTCAGCAAGCCTTGCCTTTCTCGTCTCTTGCTCTTTGATCATTGGACCAGTGTACGACTGCCTTAGTTGGTTCTCTGCCTCAACTTGTGAGCTACACTACCTGTGGGACACCCAACTCATGGACTGTGTCATTGTAGCTTGAGGTTCCTTCAAGACCTGCTTCACCACGCTAATGGTGTATACATCGCTAATGGTGTATACATCACTTGTATATATACAGGAACTGTCAGACCCTGTCATCTGGCTGACTGTTTGACCTGCCTTGCTGTTTGCTGCCTGTGCCCAGATAGCTTGAATTGCTCTACAGAGGACTCGGCTGTCTGATTCCTTAGCTTGCACCCTCATGACTCGAAGGACTGCCAGTATATTAGCTGTCTCATGGAAGTGAGTTCCACTGAGCAATTTGTACTGCTTTATAGACTAATTAGATATTTATTTCTTGTGTTGTATCTATCTATCTATCTATCTATCTATCTATCTATCTATCTATCTAATCATAAGTGTCCTGGTCTTGTTTCTCTAGAGAACCTGTCTAACACAAAGGGGGACAGGGGAGAGGGGAAGGTCGGAAAATGGAGTGGGGAGCCAACAAACTCAGGGACAAGGCAACAAGAGGCGAGGAGGATGTAGAATGTCTGGTGGGGTTTGATTATGTGCAATGTAGTCAAGAGGAAATACTGAGAGCTGAATGAAGATCACACATGGGACAGGAGGAAAGTAAAAGGAAATAGAAGAAAGAACTAGGAAGCAAAAGACATTTATAGAGGTAAAAGTACAGGCACATATATATAAATATATAACAATAGGGATATATTAATGTACATATATTTCTGTTAAGTATCAAGGTAGCAGATGGACATTGGGCCTCTACTCAAGTCCTCCCACAACACAAGAACACTTTATTCTAAAAACTGGCATCCTGTGATGCTCACCTTCCCGACATGATCGTTGAAGTCAAAATGAGTGCATAAGCAAATGTGGCGAAGAAAGCTGATGGTTCCCAGCTATTAGAAGATACAGCATCTGGGGTCTTAAAGGCCTGAAGTTAAACAGTGTCCATCTAGCAGAGAAGCAACAAAGTCTACATGGAAGAAGCACAGCAGCCTGTGTGATCATGAGGTGTCAATGGGAGCAGGTTTTAGGGATCAGAAGACTCCAAAACAAGGGGTGTTGGAGTGGACCCATCTGTAGACAATTGGACATCCTCTCATAGAAGAGTCACAAGGAAAGGAGGAGCCATCCATGGCACAACATAGCACCCAAACACACAATATTTCTCTAGTTCATTATTGATTCCTTCTCCCAACTATCATGATCCCAGTTCTACCTTACAATTCCGGCTAGACCAGAGCATGTACACTCATACAAATAAGAGCTCTCAACACACACTGAATCCAGGACAGATAACCCCCCCAGGAACAGTGATGGGAGTAGCGATACCATGAGGGTAGGGGGGAGAAAGGGGAGCAGGGGGAACTGATCTCAATGATCAACATATTAATCCCCCACCCCAGGGGGATTAATATGGTTGAAGAGAGAAACATGGTTGAAGGCAGAAACATATGAAAGGAGACAGCAGACAGTGTAAGATATGAAGATAATAATAATTTATAAATTATCAAGGGTCCATAAGGGTAAGAGGGGAGGGGAGGGAGGAAAAAAATGAGGAGCTGATACCAAGGGTTCAAGTAGAAAGTAAATGTTCTGAAAAGGATAATGGCAACAAGTGTACAAACATGCTTGACACAATGGATGTATGGATTGTTATTGAGCTGTAACAGCCCCCAATAAAATGATTTTAAAAAAAGAAAGAATATTATGATGGCAACATATGGAC